AATAGATTGTACTCTTGAATATCATTACTTTTACTGTCAAATAACGTATTTTGATTAGATCTATCAGATACACTACTATAGATCCGGAATTTCAAATATAAATCGTGATCTAATGTATCATTTTCTCTCTAAATACATGCAAAAACGACCATTTTCTCATGAAAATTTTTGTATTTTTGACCTATAAGTATACTAAGATGATTGCCTCCCAAAAATATTTTACCCTTAAAAGATAGTCCGCGAAAAACTGCATCTTTTCATATACAAACGAATACGATCACGCTTGTTATGGTGATTCAATTTTTCACCACAAATATGGGCACTATATGGTATTTTCCTGTTTTGGTCATTCTTTTTGATTTTCGTAGAATTTTATCCTATTACTGTGACTAAAAATGTATATATGATTTCAAATTTGTTTTCAATGTTAAAATATGAGTCTATTTCTTCTATAAAAAAATATTTTCTCATATCAATGACTCATTTCAAGGTCCTAATATCTTATGATTTGCAAGACAAACACCGGCCATTCAATGAAAATTTTCTTCTAGGCAGTTCAAAAGAAATATTATCATTTTTGAATTAATTTCATTTTATTTTTCTATTTCCTTCGGTCTTTTATTATTTAACACAATCAATCATATTTTTCTCATCCTTAGTCACATGTTTTGATGATCAAATATACATATCAGTTACATAGAAAATGACACGTAAATATTATTTTCAGTCAATTTTTTAGAATTTTTGGGAAAATTAAATTTTTTTTTGGTAAAAAACACAAATAATTTTATAAGCGATTAGTTGCAAAAAACAACAATATACAAAATCAATGAAAAGTTCGCTGCATAAAAGTAGTTTCCTAACGACTCGTTGATTCATTTGTTTTTATTCTTGAATGAAAAAATGATTATACATTTCCTTCGTTTCTTTCTGTTTCGTATGCTCCTTGTTTGTCGGTCTTAGACGTGTGTTCAAAAACATGTCTCTCATACGTATATATATTTTTCTTTCTTTCATGTATCGTTGGTTATTCGATGTTATGTGTCATAACACGTGCTCAGTTCATAGATCATTTAATGCATGGACCTATTGTACAAGTCTGTGTTACACGATCTATCTCTGTAATTGGAGTTATTTAATGTGTTGTCACTGCAGACATATGAAAATTAGTAATATAATTCAGTAGTTTTAGATTCTTCTCGACGAATCGGTTTATTAATACTTATTCTCATTTTATTTAAAGTTGCATTCGTATTATATTGTATTCATCCAGTTACGTAGTTTTTCTGAGATAACTATACAATAAATTATACACTTTGTGTCTTCAGCTAAAATAATATTATGTCTGTTGTGCTCGTTTACGACTTCAAGGTCACATTTTTGTTTTCATTTAGTTAGTACCATGGAAATGGAAATTGAAGGTGTTGTTCCTTGTTTTTTCAGTTCAAGTGTTCCAGCAGTAAGAAAGTTCATTCTATTTTATTTTCTAAGTTGTTATCTATTAGATAACGTGCCGTGGAAGTAATAACAAACTCGAAAAATTCATGTTATCGACAAAGCACTCAAAAAATTGTCGTTCAATGCTCGAATATTTACTCTTTCGGGCTAGGCTTCTTCATTTGCAACCTACTAACCTGTATTATCACCATATTTGCTCAAATCATTTGAAATATTTAACATTTATGGATAACAAGCGACGCCATGTATGTAAACCTTTAGGGAAACAAGATTCCGCCGATAATAGTGATGTGCGGTTAGTTTCAAAAGCAGTTGCTATTGGTATTTGGGAAAAAGGTCAACCAGATCATAACTGGGCTTTGTATGATCGACCGATATGTGGCAAGTGTAGAAAATTTTATGAAAATAAATATCTAACGCACGAAATGCGTAGCAAAGCTGATACAGTTTTTGGTAAGTGAAACTATTTTAGCCATGTTCATGTCGTATCATTTTGTAGATTGGATATATGATGGAAATATTGTACATTCACCTGTTCCATCTGATTGTGACAACGACGAAAATGAAT